AATAGAAACACTACTAATAAAAGCAATTCTGTTCTATTTCACAGCCAAACAGTGAACTTTCTTTGTTTCTTTGCAGCAATAACTCCTCTTGATCGGATCATTGGAGGTTTTGAATGTAACCCAAATGAACATCGTTCCCTTGTATACTTGTATAACTCTGCAGGGTTTTTCTGCTCAGGGACCTTGCTCAACCACGAATGGGTGCTCACTGCTGCACACTGCAACAGGTGAGGGGATTACAGAAAGTGGAAGGGTTGAGGGAGATCGTGCTTAAATATCCAGATTTTTTTGTAATTAATCTGCTAGTTTGTACTTCTCTGTGCATTTTGAATGAGTGTTCTGCTGCTACTGCTCCTCACAATCATATCTTGAACAGTGCTGTTTATGTTTATGGTAGAATTTCCTTCTTCTTCACCACAATATTTATCTTTCCCTTTTTTACTGGGATACAACAACAACAAACACAACAATATCTGGAACATTACCTGAACACCGTCAGCATTGACAAAATCACCAGAGTCAATTGCAAAAGGCAGCTTTACTTGGAACAGCTTACATCCTGTGACAATCCCTTTAATACCATGGAACCACAACATCTACCTACACCAGGTCCTCGGAAAGGGCTCTATAGGTGGATAATAATGGCAAATCCAGTCTAAATATCTGACTGCCTGTGCAACCGACCAGAATAGATTAACCATATGCTGCCTGACTCTGGGGGTTTGCAATAAGAAAATATTTTTTTTTAAAAAAAAGATTAAAATAGCATAAAAGATAAAAACATGTGAGGGGCTTCTCTCTCCCTTGTCAAAGACCTGGCGAGGCACCACACTTGACTCTCTGGCTTCTTCCCCAAACCTCCAAAACTTTAACCTTAGACTGTCTAAGGTTACCCCATTCCTAAGGAGTCTGTAAGGGGCGTGTTGCGTGCATAAGTGGACCAGCATGCCTACTGTCCCTGTCCAAATGTTCCCTTTTATTCATATCCATTTCATGTATTCATAATCATGTTTATACTTATATCTGTTATCTAATACATACTCAACAAATAAATAAATAAAAAATAAATAAAATCTTCATAGCTCTTCAAAACAAGAGCAGAGTGGTCAAAATCCAGATCTTGTGTTCGTCTTTATCTATCCTACGATCCTTCAAGATAGGTTGGTTTGAGAGAGGATGTATACCATACAAAATCATAACATTAATGTCAGAACCACATGGACTCCTTAACTTTTCATTGTTTTTCTTGTAGGGAAGATATCCAGATAAGGCTTGGTGTGCATAACGTACATGTACACTATGAGGATGAGCAGATAAGGGTCCCGAAGGAGAAGTTGTGTTGTCTCAGTACCAATAACTGTACCCAATTTAGCCAAGATATCATGTTGATCAGGCTGAACAGTTCTGTTAACTATAGTGAACACATCGCACCTCTTAGTTTGCCTTCCAACCCTCCCAGTATGGGCTCAGTTTGCCGTGTTATGGGCTGGGGCACAATCACATCTCCTGAAGGTAAGGATCTCCGACTATACTCTCGGACAAAGCTATTGATGTAACATCAAACTTCAAAAGCAGTAAGAGCTGCAATGGCGCAGTGGTTAGAATGCAGTACTGCAGGCTACTTCTGCCGATTGCCAGCTGCCTGCAATTTGGCAATTCGAATCTCCCCAGGCTCAAGGTTGACTCAGCCTTCTGTCATTCCGGTGGATAAAATGAGGACACAGATTGTTGGGGGCAATAGGCTGACTTTGTAAATAGCTTAGAGATGGCTGCAAAGCACTGTAAAGCAGCGTATAACTCTAAGTGCCATTGCTATTGCTATATGTTGATTAGCTGGGATTGGGTTTATTCCATGTTCTCAGACTCAGTTTTGTCTGGTTCAGATGACATTTTTCCTTTGTTTCCTTAAGACTTATATCCATCTTATCTACCCTCCCCAAGGAGGGTAGATGATTTTTTAGACACGATTCCTGCATTTTTGTTCTTGTTCACAATACAAGCTTATGGGCTGCTTCATCTTCAGATATGGAAGTTTCAGTATGCTTCCTGAGGAATTTTGAGAGATGAAGTCCACAAGTCTTAAAGCTCCCAAGTATGGAGACCTCTGTTCTAGATCTTCTCCAGAAGATGCAAGATCAATTCTATGACCCTCGAACGAGCAAAAGTCCTACTTTGCCCACAAGGCAATCTTTGCACAGAGTGCTGGAGGAAGTTGAGAAGCCTTCAAATGACCTCATCTAGTAATATCTTGACAAAAACCACCCTTTGCAAACATTTAACTAAATTTATTTTTTCCATGTGTCCCTTTGGATATCTTGAAAGACAATACTTTCTACTCCAAAGCAGTGAGATAAGCTCTATTGGTCGGAAACAATGGAAGTTATAGTTCTATGTATCTAGGAAGTAAATTGTGAAAGGTGGAACGGTGTAACTTCACCTATTTTTAATTTTTTCAGTGACTTATCCCGAAGTCCCTCATTGTGTTGACATTAACATACTCCATATTCCGGTGTGTCAAGCAGCTTACCCATCAATGTCAGGGAAGAACATATTGTGTGCAGGTATCCTGGAAGGAGGCAAAGATTCATGTAAGGTAAGTTGATCCCTTCTAAGACAAACTCCTAAAGAAACAGTGCCAGTTTTCAAAGCTATGATAAGAGATTGAGCCTTGAAGGCATCTTGTAGGAAGATACATACCAAGTCACAGCTTTTTCTAACTCCAGTGCCTTCTAGGTGTCTGGATTTCCAGAGTCTAAAAAAAGCTTACTGCCTGGGAATATTTACCGTTATATACTCAATACTGTTGATGCTAGTGGGGGAAACTCTAGGAGTTAAATTGTATAAGGATCCTGAATTGGGGAATACTGAAGTGAAAACATTTGGGACTATATGGGAACGGATGATGGAAGGGAACCATTTGCTCCACTTCCCATTCATAGATAGTAATGTGATGTTCCATGTTTGATTTTTCTCAACAGGGCGATTCTGGGGGACCCCTCATCTGTAATGGACAAATCCAGGGCATTGTATCTTGGGGGCGCTTTCCTTGTGCCCAACTTCTTGAACCTGGCGTCTACAGCAAAGTCTTCGATTATAAGGACTGGATTGAGGGTATTATTGCAGGAAATTCAAACGCGATCTGCCCCTAGTGACAATTTTTGAAAAAGATAAAAAGGAGAAAATGCAATGTATAGTACATCTCTTCTATATTCTCCAATCTATCCAACTACTTTGGAATAAATTCCCAGGCAGTAAGCATTTTTTAGACTCAATGAGACTGCCTTTGGGATAAGAAATAGTCAAAATAGTGCTGCGGGGATCATGTCCCACTTCAATCTCAATATACAATAAACTCAGTAAGATGGAGGTCTGTTTTAGGGTGAGGTGCAAAATGTTGACTCTAAAATGGGCCATTCCAAATATTTTAACCTCTGAACATCCTTCAATTTCTATCCACTTCTGGGACAGTGGGGTCCTTGCTGCTAATTTTGTTGCAGACATTTTATTACCCAGCTAGGTAACATAATCAGTGCTAGATTATTCTCTTCTATTGGTACTTATGTGACATTTATAATATGCTCATATGGAGTCATGAACATATCCATATATACCTGAGTCCCATTGTTGCCTAAAAAGCATCTCAGATTAACCCCCCACTTCTCAACCACAAATCTTTTCCACAGTAATAAAATCTTATAAATCATCTTTCACTTGTTTTCTGATCCTTCAGTTTTGACACTCTTAGCAAAGAAACAGCCTGGCAACTGGCAGCATCTGGACAACTAGGCTTAAAAGCTGAAAATGCTGACCTGCGTAGGATGTGGATAGGATATTATCAGAGTGAGCAACTGGAATAAAAATAATTCTGAAAAATGGTGATGAAGCTCACAAATCGCTTGGGTTCATGTCGGTCAGGAAGCCATCACCAAACCAACCTGCTTAATGGCCTGATGCAATGTGTATCGTAAAGCCAATTGAGACTTGCTCCTACCATTTAGGGATGGATGCAATGGCAGAGATCCGACTTTACATAACCTCACTGAGCTAGGTTTGGTTTTGCTGTGATGGAGAACTGGGCTTCCATCTTAGGTGGTCCTCCCTAGCAGTCCTTTAATAGGACTCCTTCTCGGGTAAGTCTAACTCTGAGCTTCCTTTCGTCTACAAACCAAAGAAAAAGGAACTTCTTGCAAGGCCCTTATAAGCTACTGGTTTCTTGGTCTACCCATGTTTTGATTTCCTTTAACATTCCTAAAAATACAACCTGTGGTTGAATCCTAGGGCCATAAGCATCTTTGGCTGGGTTTGCACAACACAATGATCCAAGAGATTAACTTTGCTTTTTCTGGCTCAACAGGTTTGCTTGGTTTTTGTATGGCCTACTGGAATGCAGCTTTCTTGGAGCTAGGCCAGACACTCAGTTTGGCATAATTTTATTTGCATGAAATGTTAATTAAAAATATAAATACAATTATTTCCCAGTCATGTATTTGATGTCTCCTCATCCTTGCTTTAGATAAGAATGTATAAATATATTCTGCGAGATTGGCCAGAACCTATCTTGATCTATGAGTTTGCTTCTCACAATGCCCACTAGATACTGCTGGAGTATTCCCAAGCAAGAAATGACTGCACCTGGTACTTGGACTACACCTCCCCCAACTTGAAAGTGTCCAGGATTAATAGCTCTGATTGCTCCTGTCCTCATTGAGTCAAAAATCTATCCAAGATGACTATCACTATGTCACATACTATTGAATTCAGCGGGTTAAGAACAATGTATTCTCCCTTTTTTAAAAAAAAATTTAGCAAGACTCAAACGAAAAAAACAGAAACTCTGAGGAATATGAATAGATGGTATCTTCAGTCAATGTGTAAGGAAGTCTTTCTTGCATCCATCCAAAAATACACCCCCCCCCCCCCAATTCATTTATATCAAATAAAAGCATGGCTAAAAATCTAGTCTTTTTTTTACAAGAGAAGAATGTAGACAACATTGTGTTAGGACTCCAAATGTTGTATAGTTCTGATGAGATTTGATGAGATACAAATTTTTCTAACCAACACCCTCCAATCCACTGAGAAAAGTCTGATGTGTTTAAAGGGTTATGACATGCAATCCACAGCCTGCCCACCCGATCCAACTTGTTCATCAGAATGGCATGCTTTACATTTCGTCTAAGCCATTGACATTACACAAACCTCACAAGAAAAAAGGTTGCTCTTCCAATTAGACTATTGTGTTTTCCTAGCAAATGATCAGCCTTTTTTGGGAATCTCCAAGAAGAGATTCCTAGATTGGTATTTTATTATATGGGCTGCTGCCAAAAATCCTTGTGCTGGTTTCCAGTTTCACGGCAAGTCTCTTTGGGGGGCTTCCCACAAGATCTAGTCAAAGCACCCATGAAACGGCCCAGCAGAACAATGCAAAAGCTGGCTCAGACACATCAGATCAACCCTAGCCAAGGAGTGTATTTTTTGGGGGGTGGGGGGGAATGCCTTTCTTCTGAATTGCTTCAGAGGCCTCTCAAGTACCTACATTAGTCTTTCACCTTTCACACACTGTACCCCTTTTGTCCCCACCCCAATCGATCCCTGTGCTGCACAATGCACAGACGCAAGCCCTAGGTACCCATCAGGCGAGGCTTTCCCTGGGAGGAAGGGAAAGGCTTAAAAAGACATTTTCAAACTTGGCAAAGATGAGGTTCTGTTTTGGGACTCCAACATTCTTCAGCTTGGTAGACTACTAGGTCTTTTGAGTCTCCTCAGCTGTAAGGAAAAATAAAAAACACAAATCGGAACACGCCTGTAAAGTTTTCATTTCTGGTCTCATGTGGGGTTTTTAGAAGGGCAGCGGGAAGTAAACAACTTGAGAGGTAAACCCAAAGGAAATAGCAGAATATTTAACCATGGGCTACCCTTTAACGCAATGGTGTACAACCTGAGATTTCAAGGCTGTATGTGAGACCGTGGTGGCACAATGGTCAGAAGGCAGTATTGCAGGCTAATTCTGCTGATTGCCAGGAGTTCCATCCTGAGCAGCTCAAGGTGGACCCAGCTTTCTATCCTTCCGAGGTCGGTAAAATGAGGATCCAGATTGTTGGGGGCAATATGCTGACTGCATAAATTGCTTAAAGAGGGCTGTAAAGTACCATGAAGTGGCATATAAGTGCTATTGCTATTACTATAAGCCATTCCTGGTTGCCAGTTATTTGCTGACATGGGGGAGAACCATATTAACTTACTAATTTAATTTTAATGACATTTAAGTTGAAACGATTTCTAATCCTGGTCCCTTTTTAAAAAAAGTGTTCCCTGCACTCAAATGCTGTCCTTTACTTCAAAAGGGTGGTGCATTTCCCCACTCCAAATCTGCCACCAGAGGCAGACTAGTGATCAAGCCAATCCCATCTACTTAAGAGGCAATCCCTGCCCATAAGATTAGGCAACCTTCTAACCAGTGCCTGGTTCTCCTACATTGTTTTCACAATATAGGCTATTAAATGATGGTTGAAACCACAGTCCAAGACCTATTACAGACGTCTACCAATGCTTCCGAGACTCTCAGGCTTGGAAAACCATAATTAACAGAGATCTGTGACATTATCGGTGGCCTTTATGTTTCAATAATACATGGTGAAAAAAGGCAACCGACAAGCAAAAGCTGAATATGAGGAAATACATTTTCGAATAGATCAGCCTTTTATTGTCATGCAAAGCATCACCTAGAACTTGGTGTACAAGAAATACAATAGCTGCCAGAAATCATATGTCTCTTTAGCTTTGAGCAGTAGCAAACGTCTGAGCAGGGCAGCCATCAGCTGACCAGACTTTCTACCCCTAAGGGTCCCTTCCCTTACAAATAGCGCTGCCTGCCTGCCTGTTCCTGAGACTTCAGCGCAGCCAACTTCTTGCTGAAGCCCGCTGCCTTGCCCTCTCCGGATAGGGCTGCCGTCCAGGCTCAGGATGCAGAAACTGGTAGTCTTCTGCCAAGGCGACAGCTTCATCCCCATTTTCTGGATGACGCTCCCGGACCCACTTCTGGACATCATCAGGGAGGAGGTTCAGGAACTGCTCGAGGACTAGCTGCTCAACTATTTCTTCTTTGCTGCGGGCCTCTGGTTTCAACCACTGGAACAACAATTCCTGGAGCCGCTCATAAGCCACTTGGGGACCTTCAGTCTCTTTATAGGCGAAACCCCGAAAGCGTTTGCGCTGATTTTCTGAGACTGTGTTGGACAAGCACGGAATAGCCTGTTCCACCTTTGTGCAGCCCCCTGCCCGGCTGACATCCAAACTGCTGTGTGCTTCCTGGGCTTCTCCAAAGAGGTCAGGCAGCAGCATAGCCCTTCTTGGCTCTCTGGCTTCCTGGCAAACATCAGGCATTTCTTTAAAAGCTTCGGCATCATCTTCCATCATCCGTTTTGCTCCCTTCCCTTCATACGAGGGTGGCACTGGAACAGCAGCAGCTACCTCCACAGGAGGTGGCACCAAGGCTGCCTCAGTTTTTGGCTCCTCTTCATGTTTCACTTTCATTTTTGTGACTTGGCATGGAACAGCAGGCTCTGCTGGCATTTCCAAAGGTTCAGCATCCTCACCCAAACATTTGGCAACCATCTTAGGCTCGCTCTGATCGCTACCAGAGTCCTGATGTTTAGTCACAATGCCACCCTCCGAGTCCCTATCTTCCGCAGGGTCAGAACAGGAGCCATCCAGGAATGGTGCTTGAATCTTATTGGCCATTCTTCACTGGCTGCCCACAGGCGTTGCAGCTTTTTTCCCCCCCCGGGAAAGTTCTATAACAAGAGATGTCCAAGAGAGAAAAAAAAACGTGGTAAACATTCAAGATTAACTCTAAAGACTTCTGTGTAGACATTCATTAAAAAATTGAGCAGAATCGGGTTCAGAAGTGTGGACAACAGGTATCAAAAAAAAAAAAAAAATGTGGATCCCAGGGAACTCCTAGCACTACTAGTTAAAATGTTAATGAGAAAAAGAAGAGGAAATAATGAAGAGAGCGTTTAACTGTTGCTAAAGATGACAAATATTCTGTGAAATGTGTGTTAGGTGCACAATTAGAGTCTAGACACTGTAAAACTATGCTGAAAACAGGCTAGCCTTCTTTGCAGCTACTTACATTTTTCCACTGCTGTGGATTACTGCTGCTTCACTATATCCGCCTCCCTTTAATCTGTATTTTAAAAAGCAAACCAACATGTAAACACACACTTGGGAACAAATGCCAACCAATGCAACTTCTTTCCTTGTCACTTCACAAAACATCTGATTCCCCAGGGGCCAACTAGGTACCAAAGGAGGGAAATGACAGGTATGCAAAGAGCATGTTATGTGGAGCTAAGTGTATTCCACTATCTAATGAAAGGCCTGTTAACATATAACTTTGTTAACAGGTCTTTCATTAGATAGTGGAATACACTTAGCTCCACATAACATGCTCTTTGCAGAAAGGCTGCCTTTTTGTTATGCATTATTTTTTAAATATTATTTTTTAAAATCCCAATAACATTTTGGTGAATTTCTCCCAGGAATTCAAAAACTCCCCAAAGCAGCATATCCTTATGGCTCCAAGATACAGTGCAGGCAATCCTCGAGTTATGACCACAATTGAGCCTAACATTTCTGTGGTTAAGTGAGACATTTTTAAAGTGAATTTCGTTCCATTTTACGATATTTTTCACTGCAGTTGCTCAGTGAATCCCTGCAGCTGGCAAGTTAGTAACACTGTGATTAAGTCAATCCCTTTATTAGTCTTAGACCAGAGACCTGGTTGTTAAGTGAATCTGGCTCCCCCATTGACTTTGCTGCTCAGAAGGCCCTAGGAGACATTGCGACGGTCGTAAGTATGAACCAGGGGCCAAGCGTCTAAATTTTGACCACACAACGATCCTGGGGATGATGCAATGGTCGTAACTGGGGTGGGGAGGAACAGCCCCAAGTCCTTTTTTTTCCAGTGCTGTTGTAGCTTTGGTCACTAAGCAAACGGTTGTAAGTCAAGGACCACCTGTACTGAAATAAGTAACAGTTAAGTTTGAAAGAGAGGGGGAAAAAGAAAGCTAGTGCACGGCCCACCCATTCTTGGAGGCAACTATTTCCCCGCAAGGCCCCACGTTCTCCTTAGAAACACTTCGCAGCCGAGATCCGAAAGGATTTCTGTCTCTCCCCAGTTCCCGGCCATGCTAAACGCCGAGCTCGCAGGAAACCTTTTGCTTTCCGCCACAGGATGGGGCGCAAACCAGCCTTTCCCCTTCTCGGGAAGAGAAAAAGGCAGCGAAATTTGCAAGAGCGGTGGCGGGAGAGCAAAGCAAGCGATGCTTCGGCCTGAACCTTCGGCCGGAGCGGCTGGTCTCTTTCTCCTCCCCCCCCCCCCACTCGCTCCCGAGGCGGCCGGGAGAAGCGCCACGCGAAGCCGCGGGGGCTTTATAGCCCCCCCCCGGC